AGTCGGAAATCAGGGAGTGTTCTGCCTCCAGCTTTGTTCTTCTTTCTCGAGGTTGTTTTGACTATTCGTGGTCTTTTGTGGTTCCATGTAAATTTTAGTGTTGGCTGTTCTAGTTATGTGAAAAATGCCACTGGAATTTTGATAGGGGTTGCACTGAATTTTAGATTTCTTTGGGTAGTGTGCACATTTTAACAATATTTTTCCATTCCTTGAGCATGAAATACTTTTCCATTTATTCGTGTCTTCCATTTCTTTCACAATGTTTTGTAGTTTTCAGTGTACCGATCTCTCACCTCCTTGGTTAAATTTATTCCTAGGTATTTTATTCTTTTTCACGCAATCGAAAATGATACTGTTTTCTTAATTTCTGATAGTTGGTGGTGTATCGAATCAAATGACTTTTGTATATTGACTTTGTATCCTGTAGCTTTACTGAATTTGTTTCTTCTAACTTTTCTTGATGGAGTCTTTAGGGTTTTCTGTATCTAATATCATGTCATCTATAAACAGTTTAATTGCTCCCTTCCGTTATGGATGCCTCTTACTCCATCTTCCTGACCAGTTACTCTGGCCAGGCCTTCTGTGTCGAGCTCAGGAAAGAGCCCTTTTCAGAGTGAGGGGGAACGAGGGTCCCGCGTCTTCTCCCTCGTCACGGGACGTATCCGTATCGAAAGACGCGCTGCTTGTCGCTCATCGTTTTTGAGCCTGGTCTGGATTATTAGTTAAAGTATGTGTTTTTCAAATATTAAGCATTTTTCAAATATTAAACTAACCTGGACGTGGTTCCATAGTGTAGTGGTCAGCACGTCTGTTTTACATGCAGAAGGTCCTGGGTTCGTGGCCCAGTGGAGCCACGGTCCATGGTCCATGGCCACGCCACCCTGAACAAGCCCGATGTCTGATCTCGGAAGTGAAGCAGGGCCGGGCTTGGTTGGTAATTGGATGGGAGACCACCTAGGAAGACCAGGTGCCGCAGGCATAAATAATAATAATAAATAAAATAAATAAAGTAACCTTCCTTTTTTTTTGAATAAACAAAACTAGATAGTGATGGATCACCTTTTTTATGTAATGCTGGATTTGGTTTGTTAAAATTGTGTTCAGGATTTTTACATTTTTATGTTCCTAAGGGAGCTGGGCCTTTAATTTTCCATTCTTGTAATATATTGTCAGGTTTTGCTGTTAGAGTTATGCTGGTCTCATCGATGACTTTGCAGTTTTTCACCTTTTTTCTTCTCGTTGGTAGAGTTTGTGTAATCTTGGTATACCTTCCTTTAGTGTTCGGTAGAATTCACTGGTGAGAGGATCTGAGCGTGAGGTTTTATTTTGTCGCGTGCATCTCATTGGACAGGTTTCAGTTTTGCCAGAGGATTTCACTTCCGCGAGGAGAGTCAGACTCCGTTCAGTGCAGGAAGCGGAGCCCACCGCATTAACGGCAGTAAGCAGTGGGCTTAACTGGGCACAACAGGGAAAATGCTTCCAGCAGCTCTGCCAGCTCGAAGAGCTGGTTCTGGTCGGAGCACATGGCGAAGCAGCCAGAAACTGAACAGGGAAGTCCTGGAGACGAGAGAGGCAGGACTGACTGGGATGGGCTCCCCACACGTCCCCAGCTTCCCGGGACACTGTGCTCCGGTGGAGTAAACCCAAGATGCCCGAGAGCCCGGCAGAAAGCAGGAGGCCAGGGACTTGCGAGGAGAGTGGCTGAAACTCTGAGTGTGTCCCCCAGGCCACACAGGTGTCAGTCATCAGAGGATGAGGCCCAGGTGGCTCAGTGCTCCAGCACCAAGCCTGCCCAAATCACCCTCCGCGAGGCTCCGCGGCCACAGAGCCAGTGCCGACGGAGCCGGGCCGAACGCAGACAGCCAACTGACAAAAACAGAGCAGCAGAGACTTCGGTGGCCACAAACCAGGGGGACAGATTCTGCCGTTTAAATCCAAGCATGTTATTTAAAACCCAACAACCGTCAAAAATATAAAACAGAATTTCGAGTTGCTCTACTATGTACCTAAAATGTCCCAAGTTTTTATAAATAAAATTACTAGGCGTGCAAAAACACAGGAAAGTGTGATCCATATTGAGGCGTACACAGGGAAAAATGCAGTAACTACATGGGTCCAGACTTTAGCGTTAGCAGGCAAACACTTCAAAGCAGCTATTTTATTCAAATAATTTAGAAATTCTAACAACGAATACAAAAGGGAATCTAAGTAGGGAAATTGTATTTAAAAAACCACATGGAAATTCTAGAGTTTAAAAGGACAGTAACTCAAATGAAAAATTTACTAAATGGACGCAACAGCAGATTTGAGACGACAGAAGGAAAAATCAGTGAATTTGAAGATAGACTAATAGAATTATCCAATCCACAGAACAGAGAAAAGATTGAAGAAAAATCAAAAGAGCCTTGAGGACTTTGGGGTCTGTCATTCCAACTCAAGTGCGATGAGGGTCCGGAGGAGGAGAGAGAGGAGAGTAGAGAAGACAGTTCAAGAGATGACGGCCGAAAACTTCCCAAATTAAAGAAAAACCCTAACTTGCAGATCCAAAGGCTAAATGAAACTTGAGTAGGATAAACAAAAAAGGAAAATCTTGAAAGCCGCAAGAGAAAAATGATTAATCATATATAGTGGAATAACAATAAAATTAGTAGTTAACTTCTGATTAGAAGCAGTGGAGACCAGAAAGCTAGTAGAAGGATACAGTCAAAGGGCTGGGGGGTGGGGAGGAGCCTGCCAACCTCTCAACCATGAATTCTGTATCCAGCAAAACCATCCTTTACAAGGGATATCGAAATAAAGATTTCAGCAGAAAAGCAAGAACTCAGAGAACAGTTACTAGCAAACTTACTTTATTGCTCGTAGATCTAGTATAGATTGTCGGTCTGTATGAAAACACAAGATCCAACTATATAATGCCAACCAGAGACATAGTTTAGATTCATAGACACGAGCAGGTTAAAATTAAAAGATAGAAAATTATACTTTGCGAATGAAAACATGGCTATGTAGCAAACCTCAGGGGGGCTCAGGGGGCTACTTGGCAGGCTTGAGAAGCTCAGTGTCCGAAGGTCACCTCACAGGATGGTCTGATCACAAATTCCTGACTGGGCAGGTCATGGTGGGCAGTCCCAGGCTCCATAGGTTCCTTAGTAAAAGGTTTATCTCACATGAGCCCTGTCTATTGTTCATCAAGAATAACGTATTTTTGAAATACCAGAGTAATCTTCCTTTCCAAACCCCTCGGAGGCATGCCCACCCAAAGCCAGACTCACTGTTATCTTGCCCCATGCCCCACCCCGCATAGCATCTCAGTGCATCTCACTGTGCTATAAATAAATGTTAAATGTTAACTCTCCAGTACCCAGGGATGGAAAAGAAGCGGTGTCTCCATTTTAATTTGTATTCAATCTGAGATTTCCCTGCTTTGCTTTCTCCCACCCCCTTAATCTACCACCCGTGGATCTCATGTGACCTTATGTTCTCTCCTTTGAATCTAAATGCATAAAAAGTACTGCAGAACTGCCATTCCTCTGAGCATTTTCCAATCCGTTGAGATCTTCCGGACGTGTTCTCAAAAATTTGGCTCAAATAAACTCACATAAAAATTTTCTATTGGTGTTGACGTTCTTTCGCCGACAGTGTAAGCGGTAATCATGAGTAAGCTGGAGTGGCTCTGTTGACATCAGACAGAACAGGCTTTAGGACAAAGGATACTCTTAGAGGTAGAGACACTTCCTAATGAAAAAAAGTTCCCTGTATCAAAAAATGGAGCAATCGTAAAGGTGTACACCTAACAAAAGAGCCCCAAAGTACATAGAGCAAAAAAGTGACATCACAGAAAGGAAAAACGGATAATTCAGGATTAGTTGGAGATTTCGGTACTTCATTCTCCGTGTGGGGTGGCCAAGAGAAGTGACTCAAAGACCTCCACCTACAAGGAACAATTGGCCAAGAGTTCCGGCTGATGTGTTCTGAAGTAGCTGCATTTGCAACCTGGCCACGCTTCCCAGAGACGGGAGGGCAGGTCCGTCCCTGGGGGATGTGAGGTTCTGGCTGCCAGCGACCTTGACTTGAGGATGTCAGCCCCGTGGCTGAGCCTTTCTCAGTCCACACCGTAGTCTGGGATTCTCCCCGCAGCCTTCCCTGTCACCCTCCTTCACTCGGTCGGGCCCGCACTGCAGTGTGATGGCTCTGTCCCAGGCTTCCCCGGCCCCCTCTCCTGTCTCAGCCATTTCCCCTAATCAAGTTAATGTGTAAGCCCGTCTCGGCATCTGCTGCTTAGAGCACTCAGGAATGGTACCAAGAATATGCCCAGGAAGTCGGTGGTTGGCTTGGGATTTGGGACTGACTCACCTGCTTGAGAGGCGGGACATGGCACAGGTGGTGGCTCACCTGCTAACGATCTCACTACTGGTGACCTGGGAAAGTATCCCAGTCGAGGGGAAAGCTGGGGCAGGTGCAGTGTTTCGGCACTTCAAAAAACTATGGGGAACGATGCCTATCAAGCCAGTGGTGTCAGCCGTCGCTGCGAAGCTGTCGGGTGACTTCGTGAGCCGTGCAAGGTTGAGTGTCAGTCCCAGAGAACCACTGTGGTGGCTTCCACGGAGGGCCTGCCCATGAGCACCTCCGAGCGCAGGCCAAGACCTGGCTGTCGCAGCCCTGGAGCTCTATGGGGCCTTCCTGACAAAGACCCGGGGTCCCGAGGGGTGAGCAGTGTCCTCTGGGTGGATGCCTCCGAGGGTACTGCCCTGCAGCCACTGTGCCCTAGTCCCTCTGTGTTTGCAGAGGTGGTCCGTATGCCCTGCCCAGGGCGAACGCTTCAGCTGTGCTCTGCCTCCTCTCCTGGCTACCCGACTGGCTGATAATGGGGGCCGTGTTGGGTGTGAGTAACTTATACTCAAAATTCCACTTGCGTGTGTGCGCGCACACGTGTTTTCCTGGGGAATCCGTTGCTTTTGTTAGTGCTTCTAGTCTGACTAAACATATTTCTGAAACACTAGGTTCCATCCTGGAAGCCAGGGCCACCCTGCCCCCAGGCACAGCTGTGATTTCCTCAGGGAGCGGGGCGAACTGGATTCTCTCCGGATGACCTGGGAGAGTCGCTTTAAGAGACCAGAATAACTTCAGTCTCCTACCATTTGAACCCGGAACAAAGACTAATCTGCTCATCTCCTCTGGCCTCGGACACCTGTTGGCACCTCAGCACATCACCTGAGGAATAGTGAAGCTGCCACCCCTGGCCACCACTCTTCCTCTGAGTCGATGCCAACAGCTGTACCATCCTCCGCTTCTCCTGCCGACAGCAGTCACCAGGCCGGGACTGGGGTAAGGCACCCGGCAAACACGTAGGGGACACTCCTCTTTGAGGCCCACACCACAGCTTCATTCCAGACTCAGAGGCTCCTTACGTTTCGCACCCCGGGCGTCTCTGTGTGTCACCTGGTCCCTGTGCCGCACACCGCCACCCCTTCCGCATCCTGTCCTCCAGGCTGAGGGGGAGAGAGGGGCAGATTATTTACACAGCTGGTGACTGTGGCGCTGAGTGTGGAAGCGAAGGAAGTCATGCAGAAAAGGGGGCAGTGAGGGTGGCAGTCTGGGGACGGGAAGAGAAGCGGGGGTTAGAGATGGGTCTGACACGGGCTGGGACCAGATGAAGCTACGTGGCTTCGAAGGGGACAGTGAACACCGCGGGGCCGCCGGGAGCTCGCTCTTATTGGGGCTGGCCGGGCAAGACAACTGAACGCCTTCTCAATCTTATTTTCATAGAATCACATCAGAAAATCCTAGGCTGCCGAGGGAAGAGGAATTCAGAAAATCTCCGTAGAACTAACACTACGTGTTAACTTTTTCAAAGTCTGGGAAGGCTCCTGGGCACATGCGGGACTTCTGAAGCTGGGCCGACTAAGATGTAAGGCCCTCGTGCGACTGTTACCGTTGAGGGGGACGGGGCTGTATGCGCAAAAATCAGGATATTGAATTAAACAAAACGAACAGCTTGCATTCGAGTCACATTTTATAGGTTACGAAGTTCTGGCGTTATCGTTTTCATTACCAGTGTTTTCCCTGTGCCCGTGCCCATGTCTGTTCTCAGTTCCTAAAAATTGATTTCCGTTCCCCGCCTGTTGGTTGGGCCTTTTCTTTAAAATAGCTTTATTGAGATATAATTCACATACCATACAATTCACCGATTTCAGTGGCACGACTCACTGGTTCTCAATATTCACAGCTGTGCGGCCATCACGACAATTTTAGAACCTTTCCTTTACCCTCAAAAGAAGTCCGGACCCCTTAGCAGCCACGCCGCCCCCCACGCCCCACCACCGCCCCCAGCTCCCTAGCTGTGCCTAACCACTGATCTGCTTTCTGTGACTGCGCTTGTTCCAGACGGTATATTTTCATTTTTTTCTTTAAAGTGCCTTTGGGGGTTAGGGATTCTTAGTTTTGGAACTCTTAACCCCAGAAAGGTGGGGGGGCGGTCTCGGATGCATCAGAGTGTGGGAAATAGAAGGGGAAGGGAAACATACTTACTTCACCGCTGCTGTGTGCCAGTTTGGATCGTTACTTTCACAGCCATCCGAGAGCCCGGATCTAACTGCTGAAGAAACAGACACATAGAAATGAACTCGCCGAAGGTTACAGAGTCAGTAACAAGGCAAATGGAAGCTTTGCTTTTCTGACTGGAGCCGGCTCCTCTCTCCAGCAGGTCAGTAGTTTTCTAACTGCCCCCCACACCCCCCGCCCCGCCTGGGCCTACAGTCACCTGGAGGCCTTGTCAAACACGGATGGCCGTGGCCGGGCTTCCCCAATAGTTCTGATTCCCTGGCACTGGGGCGGGGCCGGAGGGTCGCAGTCCCAGGTGCTGCTGCTGCGGTGACAGGCGCTATCCTGCTGCCCGAGTGTGTCTGAGAGCACAAGTGATTCCGATCTCAACGCTAGATGCCGAAATGGCTGTAATGTCATCTGGTCATCTTTTCAGAGCAGTACTTACGATCTGTCAGAGCAAGTGCCGATTGACAAAAGGCAGAAAGCAGGAAGGCCCTACGGAGAACCGAAATGCTTCAGAGACAAAGTGTGATAACATTTTTCTTCTGCTGGGAAACATGTTAAGAAGAAATTAGGGAATCGGCCATGGTGCACGAAGCACCTAGAGGTGGGCCTTTTCGGTCGGAGGCACATGCGACGTTCTTGTCTCGTCGGGACCCACGGCTCCTCACAGAGAGCTGGCAGGCAGGCAGGGGAGGGCCAGCAGCACCGTCTCCTTTGGCGACAGCTGTACTTGCTACTTGCACACTCATGCTGACTTCATCCGTAAATGTGAACTAGGCCAGAACTGAGCAGGCTGAAAGCTGCATATGTAAAAAAGAATCATCGCAGATATCAAGAAAATGTATTTCCTTGGATCTGTTCTAACTCTGGGTTTTATTGAAAAACACTTGTTTTTTTTTTTTTTCCTTAGTGGGAGGGGAAGAAGGATGGCTAAAAAAAAAAATCACTTAATTCAGAATCCGCAGTGTAATTGCTACAGTTGGCTCAGATGTGATTTGAGCATCCTGAGCTATGGGGTTTGGTGACCGGGCTCCCGAGAGAGGATGACACAGCACAGGGAATAGCACAGCCTGCCTTGCTTTACAGAGAGCAAAGAATGAGAGTCCTTGTCGAGGTCGCTCCAGCTGGGATGTTCTCAGTGACTTAAACGGACACAGTAGCTCAGGAGTAGGTGAGCCAGCCCTGGGGTCCAGAAAGAGCAAAATTGCAGCAAAGTGCAAACAGGCGTAGAGGGTACGGCCGGAAGTCCTCTGCCTTCCCTTTACGGACAGCTTTTGTTTTTCCGAAGCACTTTTATGTGTATTAACTCACACGGAGGTCATATTATTACTAATCAGGGTGCAGAGAAGTGTAATGAGTTAGCTAAGTTAACGGGTTGGTTCAACTAGTTAATAGACACACAAGAACTAGATGTAGACAGTTGCTTCGAATGCCGGAAAAAACGAAGCATTCAGAAATAAGCGTGCTGACCACATAAATACAATCTGGGGAACATCACGTTTCCTTCCAAGACGGTGGAAGTCAAGTTCACTTGTTGGCACTGTCTCACCTCTCCCGTGTTTGTTCATTCGTGTATTCCCGCGATACGTCCCTGATGCTGCCGTCTCGCCGGTCGTGCCCAGTGGCCTTGGGAAGGCAGGAATGAGACGTGGCATCTCTTCGTTCATTCAATAAATCTTTACCAAGGCCCTACTATGTGCCAGAAACTGTCCTAGGTGCTAGGGATATAGTAATTAAAAACAAGCAAACAACAAAAGCAAACAATGTGCCAGCCCGTTTAGAGTAAGCCACTTAAAACTAACAAAGCCACGGGAAACGGAAAACGAGTTCTGTAAAGACGTGTGTGATGGCCAGGGGCCGGGTAGGTGACCAGTGTGAAAGAGCAAGTGTGGTACACTGAGAACGGTGGGCTCTAGTGGCCGTTACTGTCAAATCTTCCCATTTATACTTGAAATTTTAAAATCTTGTGGTGAAGGCGATAGGAATAAGGGACGGGGGACCGGGGGAGAGTTCGCGGAGGCGGTGGCGTTCATTTAGGCTCCGCTTCCTCTCAGCTGCTTCATATCCCATGAGCTACGGGTCCCTCAAGTTTCAGCAGGCCCCATCTTGGGCTGTAAGGAGCGCTGCAGAAGCTCTTGAGGTCGTCAGGTCTCTTTAGTGGAGGAAACAGTTGGGGGGAGAGGCCCACTCAGGAATCGGCTGGGACCCGGCCACCCCACTGCCCTTCTGAAGGCCCTCCCGGATGCCTGCCTCTCCCGGTCCTAGTTTCCTGTCTGAGCTTATGTGGAGTTGGTTTTGGATGGTGGCCTGAAATATTTCAAAAGTGAAAAGAACATTTGTGTTTTCTAATGCTCTTAATTTTTTTTTAGTAATTTTTTTCCCAAAATGATTCTGAATTTAAGGTGCTTTACTGAGTTTTCAAAGAGAATGCCACTGACTTGAGCCGCCTTTCAGCCGGCAGGGCCGGGTTCACAGGCGCGCCGCTGGCCTTGCTATTCTGGTCTCCCCTGTGCCCCGTGGACTCTCCTTTCTCGCGCGGTCTTTTAGGGGCCCTGTCTCTGCGAACACTTCTACAAGGCGCAGACGGCCCCAGGCACTAGTCTAAGACCTTTAGACATAATAATTCATTCAACACGGCCCCCCGGGACGTCATCGCGGTGATTCCCCCCTTTAACAGGCGAGAGCCCCGAGGCACGGTGAGGAGGCGCACTTGGCTCGGGGCTGCCCGTGAGAGCAGACATCTGGCCCCAGGGCTGGACGCTGCTCCGAGCCACCGATGCTGCCTTTCCAGCTGCCCCAGCGGGCCCACCTCTGAAAACCAGTTCAGCTGAGCCGTGAAAGAGTCCACGCGGCACTAAGTATTATGCTAATATTTCCGCAAACCCTCACTCCGCGGGAATCTCGGTGTTTGGGGTTTCAAGCTGCGGTGTAAAAGGCGCTGATGCTGGGCGGGAGGGCGCCCCTCAGATCAGCCCCTCAGACGGCCCTTCTCTAGGGAGTCGCCTGTTGAGGATGGCGTTTGGGGGTTTCCGAGAGAGGAAATGTTTAAAGCCAGCGGCTGACATGTTATTTTGGCCATCAGCAAAGGAAAAAAATCCTCATTTTCAGAAAACGCAGTCCTTAGCCCGGATAACGGGCAAATGACATTAACTCTTTGTTTGGTCTTAATCTCCCGAGCTTGTTCTAATTGTGCTGCTCAGACCTGCGGCATCCCCGCCACGATCCGATCCTCCTGTCGCGTTTGGAATGGGTGGTGGCCCGCGAGTGAAGACGCGGCGCTCCCTGGGTGCGCCCGAGGCGGTGGGGAAGGGTCCGCCGCCGGCGGGGGTGGGGGTGGGGGT